CCCAGAGAAGCGTGTGGTGATGAGGAGCCCAAAGGGGCAAGCCTCGCCTGTGGTGTTTGAGGCGGACAGGTCTGAGCCGGATTCGGCAGCCCTTGGAAAGCAGCATCCGCAAATCGCATCCTTGGCTGAAGGGAGATGGATGAGGCTGGGCGTGTGTTTGAGAGCTGCCATCTCTGGCGGTGCCCCGGCCTGGAGCCGCATGTGTCAGGCGAGTAGATGGCTGCCGATAAGGCCCCAGGATTGCGACGTTGCACAGGAAACCCGGCGCTCGGTGACACAGCTGTGGGGCCTGAGCGGAGTGGTTTGAAGCTGCTCCCCACAACCACAGCGAGCAGAGCGCGCTGCAGCGCAGCGCTCCGGGCACCGCTCCGCTTCTCTCGCTGCACGGCCTGTCATTCAGGCCCGTGGGCTTCCTCTCCTTCAGTTACCAGGGTTTGCGTTGATTTGTTGTGCTTTCTCACTTGTCACCAAAAGAGTTTTTTTTTTTTATATGATTATTTTTTTTTCCATGAGTTCTTTTGCTCGGTTTTGTTTTTTAACTTTTAAAAGCAAAAGTCTGCAGGGGGCTATTCCAGGCAGCTGGCAATGATTTCTCGCTCTTCTGCTCTAGGGGCACAACATGGAATGAGTTATGGCTGGACTGGGAGTGCGCACTGCCCAGGGCCTGGTGCGAGTGCTCATGGACCTGCAGCAGGCACGTCTAGCAGAGGGACAGGCTGCATGGCTCAGGAGAGAGCTCTGAGCACAGAGGAGAGGAAAAGGAGGGGAGAAAAGAAAGGAAACAACAGTCTCTGGAAGGGAGAGCTGCTAGGGAGAAATTTCTCAATGGCAGAAGCATGACTTGGGAAAGAGCCCCAAATGCGGCGGCACACACCACACCTAGGGTTTAGCACAGGAAGCTGCTTGCTATAAAACACAGCAACGTCTTGCTTACTGACCTTATCTGCTTTCTTATTTGCTCATCTTCCCTGCCTCTGACAATGCCCATGCATACTTTTTCAGACCCGAGTACAAACCTTCCTGTAACTTTTCCTGTAAGACTTCCTGAAATAAATTAACTAGTGTTCCTTTGCTGCAAGCTGCATGTTTTGTACCAGCTTTCCTAACATCTCCACTTTACCGTAAGAGGTCTGAAAGTGTAACTACTTCCAGAAGAGCACACGGTGGGCAAGACAGCAAGAATTAAGTGAGAAAGCTCCCAGTTCTAACTCCTTCAGATCTTGTTTCCCTCCCAAGCAATACACAGCTTAGGACCCAATCCTGCAGACCTTGTGCATACGTATAGCTAGATGTTGGCTTGTGAGTCAATTCCTTTTTGATGCCTAAAGAAGAAAATGCTGAGCCAAATACAAGGAGTAAACTTGGCGTCGTTTATTTAGCAGCGAATCTATATCACCCACCAGTCAGCGACCCGACCTTAATTGGGCTGTGTTTAGACATCTTGCTTTAAATCTCCACTGTATATTGCTTGGCCGCTAAGCTTTGGCCTTGTAAAACACTTAAGTAACTCACAGTAGGCTCTGGATTATCTGTAAGGTTAGCAAAGTGGGAATTATTAGGGAAATGCTTAATATTTGTGCTTAGCTCCATGTGAAGGAGCTGAGGGTGATTGCTGTCTTAGAGATGTGGGTCTGCACAGCTCCCACCACCTTTTCCTCAGTGCAACTGCAGCAACAGTGAAGCTATGGGCACAGTCCCCCAAGCCTTGGCCCAGGGCAGGTGAGGACAGGACACATTTGATGATGGTTACGAGATATGGTTGGATTTTACTTTGTGCAAATGTTAACTCCTGCTCTAGTGATTTAAAAACCTCAGCTGATCCTGGTCATGTGAATGGATGAAACCCATTTAACTGGCTAACTGCTTCTTATGCTTTGTATTTACTTTGGGTTTTGTTCAAGCAGAAGATATATCTCAGCTTTCTCTCACTCTTCCTAATCCTGGAAAGCTGTTGCAATGATTATTATTAACAAAGTGCTTTGAATTGTCTTTACTTTTTTAAATACAGAAATCAGACCTATTTATTAAGGAAGGGATACAGTCCTAATTAACTTTCATGGTTTATTTCTAAAGTGGAACTTGATTCATTGTTTCAATACATGTTTTTGACAAGGACCATCAGACTATGCCTAGCACAGCTTCCCATCCTGAACAGCTTCACACCCAGTACCCAAGGTCTCAGAGGGCAGGATGCCCCCGATAAAGTACCTTGTAGGGACTGGAGCAGTTCTGCAGTAAGACAGGGTTGAACACAGCTGACACAGAGGTCCAGCAAAGCAGTTCATCATGCTCTGGTTTCGGCTATGTACCTCTCTACATCTCCTGCTCAAGCTCCTCCTGGATTTTATTAGTCCCCGGGAAATGCTGGACCTGAGACGAGGCTGAAACTGTCTCCTGCTTTGGCACAGGAAACATGGGAGCCATCAGGACCTGCAGTTGGGTCTGTCCGAGGGCCTCGTGAGCAGCAGCTCGGATCTCCCCATGCTTCTTGGGTCCAGCTGCCTCTATTCAGGGCTGCTGATTTATTCCCTGCTTCTCCTGCTCTGGGTGCTGCACTCCCAAACCCCAAGACGCTCGGCTCAGGGCATGCTGAGACAGACACAAGTGCTGCGTGAAGGCAGCTAAATTACTCCTGGGCACAAATTGCCCTTGGTTGACCTACGGCCTTGTTCACCTTGCTGCATTTTAGCCACCGGCTTTAGTGGGCTCCGAGCTAGTTTTTGCATAAACCATCTGTGGAGTAAAATGTTGTCCTAGGACTGTTTAAATGAAGCTCTCTAGAAAGCTGTCCCCAGCTTCCTTGTGGTGTACTATACCATTTCAGCAAATGACTTCATCTCACTGTCTCCATTTACCCCATGTATATGTAGTCTTATCATTTTGGAAAAAAAAAAGTGTAAAGACTATTATTTATGCAGTGCTTTGAACTTTCTTTTAAAAGCCATAGTATGAATAAGAGAAAAGGAAGGAAAAGAGATTAGAATACTACTTTATCTCAGATCAGGTTTAGAAATTTTTGTTTCTAAAACTTTTTTTTTTAATTAATATGAATTCTTATTTCAGAAAATCAATAAACCTGCAGATTGGAAATAGGATTATTTTTGTGGCCGTGTTAGCCTCCTGATGGGAAAAGTGATTCTATCATCACTTATTTTAGAATTTATTATAACATTACCCAATATCCAGGCTTGGATTTTTGATCATGCTTTATGATCATGCTTCTATACTTGAAGAGTGCTACAGACTCTATCATAAGATATTTCTGCAAATAAGTTTTCCTCACGCTGGTGGCTATATATTGCATGAATGGCATCTGAAAAAAAAAACCCTAATGAAATCTTGAGCGTGGCCTGTGGGGGCTGGCAGAGGAAGCCCAGCACACAGTCCCTCTGCTCCCATTGCCGGAGTAACTGGGCACCTCCAAGTAGTGCATTCAGTGGTGCAACTACTCAGTATCACATCTGGTTAATGAGAATCGCCAAACTTTGCTCGCCTTAGGAAGGAGATGAATCATACCAGGTCTCTTCAATTTATCTTGCTAGCAGGGTTTTACAGGCTCTTGATCATTCTTGTCTTTCTTTTTTGAATTCTCTCCGATTCTTTGTACAAAGCATGTTTCCAATTCACTTTTAAGTGATATATTTATTTACTCATTATTTTTAAACTGTGCAATATAATGGTTTTCCAATCCCCATTTCTATGACTTACATATTTTTCCTGGACTTACGTATTTGGTCTATATTTGCTTAAGGCCTCTCATATGAATTGTTCTAATTTTCAGCTATTTTTTAAAACTTACTAGATGCTTATAAACCTATATAAAGGCAATTCCAGTTGTAGCTTGTAGCTGCTACAAACCAATAGTACTACTTTGCCCCTCTTGATGGGATCAGGATATAAATGTACCAGGAAATTAAAAGCAACCTCTTCAGAGTAACAATTCTATTGGGCTTTCACTTACGGCGATAGTACAGATTCTCTCTGTACAGATTCTCTCTCTGCTTCTCTGCAGATTCTGCAGAGCTACAACCGTTCCCTTCCCTTCCCTTCCCTTCCCTTCTCTTCCCTTCCCTTCGTTCTTTTTTAATCCTTTCTCAGAGATCTATTCAAAAGAAGACCTCTTGTTGAGGTTCTTATGCAAAGAATGCAGTTTGAAAGCCTCTATCTCAACCCAAAAATAAACCAGGGCATCTCAGATGCACTTCATGGACCTTTTCATTATGTTTGGGGTAAAAAGTTAGTTAAAAATCCTGCTTGTACTTACCCCTCTTATATTTAATAGTCTCTAACATCCCCAAATTGAGACCTCCAGAGACTTCTCATAGACAATGTGTTGTACCTCGATGGTTTTGATATGTGTCCTGCAATATGGGAGGTATATCTTAAGATTCCTATTCCAAATAAGACAGAATAGCAATTCTCTAAACAATTAATCAAAATGGATATGTTTTCACATACACATGTTTTAGTTGGTGAAAAAAATTCCTAATCCAACCAGATCCAGTAGTGAATACTAAGTGCTTGTTCGCAGTGCACTGGGCCAGGCACTTCCAGTAACTGCATGTGGGAAGCAGGGAGGACAACTTGGGCCTCGCAGTGTGGAGAGCGCTGGGTGAAGTGCCCTGTACCGTGTGAGGGAGGCCAAACACTGAGGTGGGTGCCCTGTGAGGTTGTGAGTGTCTCCATCCTTGGAGACACACTAAACCCATCAGATGAAATCTTGGATAGCCTGGTCTAATTGACTCCATTTTGAGAAGGTATTGGACCAAATAATGTCCAAAAGTCCCCTCCATCTTAAATAACTCTATGATGAGCCTCATTCAGATTTCTGTCTCCTTGTCAAATGGACAGCCTCATGCTCTATCCTTTTTCATACATTGCTGTGCAACACAGTCCCAGGGTTGCCGCCAAGCATCCCTGGCGGTGTCCCTGCGTCAGTGAATACAGCGTCAGTTCATACAAATGGCCTCGGTTGTTAATGTTCTGCTGTTTCTGTGCAGGTGCGGTGCCTGTTCTTGGACTGACAGACCCGAGACTTTGCTACTTGCTGGATGGATTCTTCTTCATTTATGCAGTCATCATGACAGCACTTTTTGTGAAAGCTAAGGTCAGTCTGTCCAGCCTGATGCATTTGGCTTTTGTTACACACACAAGTTGAACAGAGCTAGAAAGTTGGGGAGAAGAAAAAGCATGTCTCTTTTAGACATTTCTGTTGCCCTTTCTTTCCCTTTTCCAGAGCAAACCCAAGTGATGTGGAGTTCTCTAAAGGGCTCAGGAATGGAGATGAAGAGTAGGCATCATATGCTATTCTTCTTGATGCTGCTAGGAGTATTGTGACAGCATAATGACAGACACAGCCAGAGCTTCTGGTCAGAGTAGCTGGAAAACGCTTGTTCCACAGTGATTTGGGTTCTGCTGCTGCTTCATCTTCAGAAAGAGATGAGGAGAGAGTGTGCACAGAAAATAAAGGAGGAATGCCATGCTTGTGGGAAAAGTATTAAAAATGTCTCCAAGAGCTGGACACACTTGGCAGCGGTGCTGTGTGAATGGTATAACACTAAGGCCCTGGCTTCCACATACGAGAGGAGTGAGGCAGGGGTTGAGGGGCTGTTGCTCGCATCCCGCAGCTCTTCGACATCTAGGGAGGCACTGGTGGTTTTAGTCTGCTTCCAGGAGATAACATGATGTGCTGCAGGAATCCACAAGTCCGCACAGGTTCCCACAGCTCTGTGCATCAAGGAGAGGAGCTATCTCCTCCTCTGTACAGGGCACTCCACTGAAATGATGTTTTCAGCCCAGTCTCACCAAGAGTTTCAGGCCAAGAGTGGAAGTGGGGAGGTGGAGGGGGTATCTCCTTGCCCAGGCTCTGCAACAGATGCAAAGGCTGGTGTGGTTGCGAGCTGGGAGTGCTTCTCTGCTGGTCGTGGTTGAGACCGCCAGCAGGAGTCCTGGTGTGGCAGGGCCGTGCCGCTGGGGCAGACGGATCATTTCTCAGGACTGCGAAGCCAGTACTGAGCTCAGGAATTAACATGTTTGGAGGAAGTGAGCCAAACTGAAAAATGGTGGAGGAGAAGCCCTTTCCCTATGCTTTTTCCCTTTCCCTCTCTCTTCCCTTTCCCCCATTATAAATCCAGATCACAGGTACAGTGCTGCTGCGGCCCTGGAAGTCTTTTTGACGCTGCTAGACTGAAAAGCCCCTCAGGCACATGCAGCTGCACGTGTTGGTAGCAGGAGCTGTGCACCTTGTCGGTAAGCAGGGCTCCGCAAAATATCCGAGGAGGAGCGTGAGCTTCCCCCAGCCCTGCAGTGCCCGCCCTGAAGGGCCTGGGGGTTTTGATGCCACAGCTCAGCTGGAGCTCCCTGCCGGCAGCAGGACCTGGCTCCCAGGCTGGGACACCCTTGGCCTCGGCGTGCCAGCTGACCTCGAGCTGTGCCAGCCCCTTCCCCTTCCCGCCACGTGCCCGCTGGTAGCTCGGGGCAGCCACCAGGCTGTTGCCTCAGGGGACGAGGCCGAGGGGAGAGGAAAGCCAGCGTGGTGGTTACACGGCCTGTGGCCGCGTGGCACACACACTGCCCCTGCTCCTCACTGGGAGAGCTGCTGAGCACCGTCTGCCACTTCAATTGCATCTTTGGCCTGGATGCGGTGTTTGGTGGCTTTAAAACATAGAGCACCCACAACAGCTGTGCCTAGTGTGCCGGGAGGCCGAATTAATGGAGCTGGGCAGTGGAGGAGGAAGCAGCGTGTGCCCAAGGGAAGTGCGAGCCCAGGGGCTCCTAAGGGCCACATGTGGCGATGCGGGCGCGTTGGCACTGCTGCCAGGGCCCACGCCGGCGCCACGGGCGCTGCTGCCCGTGGCACGCGGCCACGTGCCTGCCGTGTCGGCTGCTCGGCCAGGGCAACCTGCTCTGCGTGGGTCCGTCCTACACGGACACCGCTGGGCTGGGCGCTCCCCAGCTGAGTCTCTCAAGCTAAAACCGTCAGGGCCGTCTTAGCAGAAATGCCGTCACCAGGCACTGAAAAGCTGACAAAGGACTTTCCAGGGGAAACTCTGTTTTGGCACGAGCCTGCAACATTTTTTGAAAATCTTCCAAGCCGGGATGTTTTTGTCATCTTACCTCTTGGCTGACAGACTTGCTGACAGGTGCTTTAGCCAAGGGCAGCACCCTGCTTTTGCCATGGTTCTTAACTTACGGCTTATGTGGAGTTTTAGGCTCCTCTATGGGAAACATAGGTTGACTGGCTGGGGAATACCAGCCAAACCAAGGACTCAGGGAAGATAATGGGCCTTCCACAGGGGA